TTATTGGTGTTCCTTCTCTAATGTTATGCTTGTGAACAGTGAAGAGTGAATTATAATTCACTCTCCACTATTCATATAGCATGTGAATAACGAGGAGTCTTCTCCAAAATGACTGGGCCGAACCCGGCCCAGTCTCATAAAAAACCTTGTCTTAGGCCGATGTTGACCCAATTTTTTTAGCCCAACCTCGACCCAATTTTTTCTAGGTTGATTTTGACCCCAACACATACGCGCGCACACATATATATAAACAAAAATTCCAAAAAAAAATTAAAATCCTTTCAAAAAAAATTAGTTTTATGTTGTATTTTTCTACCAGTTTTAATTTATATTAGTTTGTATTTTTATAGGTATTAAAATACTTGGTTTCTCTAAAATGTTGCAAAAAAAATATATGAAAAAAAAATATTTTATTTTCATGTATATGACCAAATCTCTCAAAATATAAAAAATATCTCATATCTTATTTTCATACAAAATAAAATTTAATAAAAATATATTAGCATGCATTTTGGGTTTTAATAACTAGTTTATTAAAGTCATAAGAACTAGGCCTATATTTTAAAAATACCAAAAAAATATTTTTTTTCTTTTATTATCTAAGATTACAAACTTATATGTAAGCTGTATTCTTGATACTAAAATGATAATTCTTTTTTATTAACATTAGAACGGTTAAATTTGTAACCAATAATATAAGGATCTACTTACTAAGAAGAATTTGTCTTCAACCTCAGACAACCAAACAATCAGAAAACTAGTTTAATCAGATAAATAAATAATGCAATTTACTATAAGTAAGGTGTATTAGAAGTGGTAATACCTTTTTATTACGCAACTAGTCTCTATACTCGATTCCTTAAGATTAGTTAATGTTCCTAGTGACTAAAATATTAAGTGTTGACTCTTATTCTTTCTTTCCATTGATAAAGAATAAGAATTTCTTATCTTGTCTATTTCCGCACACTATGTACACTTAGACCTTACTAGGAGGACGTTCGCCAAGACACTGACACGACTAAAAGATTGATGTCTTCTCCCAAATACAGGAGTGTCGAAATAATAAATAACCCGGCAAGACCGGGGTCGAACCACAAGGAGGTTAATTGTACAAATTATAAACAA